AAAAGAGGCCTTCAAGATGGCGGCGACGCAAAGCACTTACGTCATGACGACCAAGCCCTATTGAAAAAGCTTCCTGGATGAGAAGTGAAATGTCTTTAAACAGTGGACTGGTTTGTAAGTTTTTTGGTATTTCAACGTTTGTGTGACGCCAACAAACAGGAGAAACACAAGAACTGCTTCATGAAGCATTCGATTCAAACAAACATGTGAAGCTAATAGCATTAGCCCTCTCATCCTAGGGCTATAACAACAACAGACTGATGCTTCATTAAAATAAATCAGATGTTGTAGGCATAAGAAGACATGCATCACCTTGATGTTAGATATGATGATGTCTGGGGTAGCTAGAGTGGAGTTCATACAATAATGCCCTATCAGAATATCTGTCTGTAGTAGAGATTTATAGAAATATATAAGCGACAGAATGCCTTAATGCTCCATATATGACTTCAGAGTTTCTGACCACGCAGCACCACCTTGCTCCATGCCAGCTTATCACAATTTGCCAGCTTTTAGTGCAGCAGGTGCTGCATCAAAGCAATGCAGCACAGCAGGGGGAGACCGACATGAGCAAATGGTGGTTCCTATCCATATGGAGTCCAAACACGCACACATAAATACGAGTAGAGTAAGACAGAGCAGATCTAACAGCCTATCTTTGGCTCGCCCACATAAATGTCCGCTTGGCTCTGCTCTGATCACATAATTGCCGAGTACACACCTCTCCCACACACCCCACACGCACAGAGCACACATCCCAAAAAGCAGACACTGTGACACACTCACTAAAATATAATCTCAAAACCAGCATATATATATATATATATATATATATATATATATATATATATATATATATATATATATATATATATATATATATATATATATATATATATATATATATATATATATATATATATATATATATATATATATCCATATGTGCAGGAAACGTATGAGGCACATGGTAACAGAAGCAGGGAGGAAACTTCACACATTGAGACTTGCTTGCCAACGTACGCACGCTGCTATCGTAGCAAATACTAAACAAAAACTCCCACCAGCTCTCCCACACAGGGAGCACAATGAGGAGGGAGCGAGCCAGAGGAACCAAGGATGAGAAAATGAAAAAAATACAGCAAATGAATCGCTTCTCCAAGTCTTTGCCACCTGGATGCTTTGCTGCCAGGATTTGAAGCAGAGTTAATGCAGCGATGTGTTGAAATGACAAAACATTCGTAGGTCTGCTTCAATACGCTGTAAATGTTTTAACAATAGCTTTCCATTTAGGTCTTATAGCCATAGTCGCCTGGAGAGGGACTTATTTGAACAGACAACATGGAGCAGAATATGTGAAAACAAACAACTTTAGGTTTGATCTGTTGGGAGGATTCATGTGGATCATTTAGTATAAACAGCTGGTTAAGCCCCTGTCACCCCGAAAAATCTGGCAAAAACGCTGACATATTGGATAAGTTATGGGTACGTTTTGTATAAGTTATGAAACACGCTGGCACACGTCAACATATGGCAAGTACTTGCTAACTTCCTGACGTATGCCAGCGCATGCTCAAACTTGGGCCATAAGTTGCAGGTAAGTCATCAGATCGTTGACATACGTTATTTGTAAGTCGTGGCGTCCAGCTTATCCAAAACCTATGAGTAACTTGTGCATAACTCATGCGTAACTTATCAAGAAGTTATTTCCAACGCATATTAACGTATTTGACGTGTTCCAGATGACTGCTGAACGTGTTTCTAACTCAGGGTTTATACAGGAATGAGTCATTCTAATTTAATGCTCTTAGAAATAATTTTAATGCCATCAACAAGTAGCCATGACTCTCATATATACACGTCAAAATCTTTCATTATCTTTACCATCGAATGGCTGAAGCCATGTCCCGAATTCCTCATTTTCCCTTTTCTCCGCCTCGGGTTTCTTTTCGGAACATATGGCTTTACGATCAACCGGAAGCAGTTCCGCGCAAATATATTGCGATATATCTGACAAAATTGTTTTTATAAACTTTTGTTCGTAAATAAAGAATTTTAAATGCCAAAATAATCACTTTCATGGATTTGAATGCCAGTTCAGGCCTTAATTAAAAAAAATAATAATCTAATGACTTTTAAAGTTTTTTAATGACCCGCGGTAACCCTGTAACTTACAACTGTTTAACCCTTTATAGGGCAAGTTAGCATTTTAACCCACCTGCATACTCACAATTCCCTTACAAATGGAGTCCCAACCATGCCTCAGTAAGGTCTAGAAGCACAAGATCTATAACCAGCCATTCAGCAAAGATGCTGCTACATGGCTGTACATCTTATTTTGGCATTTGACCAATTAGATAAGCACTTGATTGATATATTACCTACTGGACATTAAGTTGGAAAAAAAAAAGTTAAGTCAAGAAAAAAGGTAAAAAGCTAATTGACAAATTAAAAAATGAAGTTAAAAAGTTAATAAGCCTAGTTAACAATTATATTTAGGTTTATAAACAAAAAAATTAAGTGTCAGTATCAGCATTAATGCCTCTAAGGTGTTTTTGATCAATGTCCTCTAGAAGCACTCTTGTTATTTTTCGTAATATATTCGGGAAAGTTGGCGTTTCTTGTTGTTAGATTGACATTGACATATTTTATGAATGTTACAAAAGTAATAAGGTATTGTCCTGGATTCCAGTAACACTATTGGCTTGAAATTTTGATTTTCAAAGTATTTCACTGAGTCGCCTATAAAGGGATAATGGCGTATTGGCAGCGTTTTGGTATAAAGAAGGTTCACAGGAGGAAACCATCAGTTCTGCTCCAGACTTCATCCCCATCATAGGGTGAGCCAGAAGGTGAGTCTGATGAATGCTCCCTGCGTCACGGCTACGACCAACAAACTTCCTAGCAGACATGATGCCGAATCTGCTGCCACTGTAAACCTTCTTTCTTTCTTTTTCTTTATTATTTTTCTTTATTTTTTTTCTGGCGCGCGGTAAACAGCAGCTAGGTTAATACCGCGATCAAATAAATTTTTTATGCAGACCGGGCGCCTCCGGGTGCATCGTTGCTCCTGAGGGGAGCAGCTTTAACTGATGCGTCGTAACGCCCATGAAATGATGCATCATTTCATGGGCGTTACGACTGCCGTGCGTTATGCATACGTTAGGCTGTCGTTGGACATAACATCTGGACACAAATATGCTAGTTGAAAGAAATACATAAAAAGTTCAGCTAAATCGGTACGGTGTGACAGGGGCCTTACGTCAAAATGCTAAAAATAATACATATCTGTAATGAATAACAGCCTCCTCTACAGAGGGAAACCAATCAGCATCACATCTGGAACCTGGAAGGATTTTAACACAACGATCAATTAACCTTTGGTACATTTAGTAAAATCAACTCATCCAGACGCAGAAAGATTTTAGGGATTGCAGCACAAAACTACAACAACTAATTGATTATTTTGTATTTTAATATATATAAATAGCAGATTTTCATGTCTTTTTTTAGGTTGTGTTTTAATGTTTCAATGATGTGATAATCAAGCAAGTATTATTTCCTGAGGTGGGATTTCATGTGTTATGGTCTTATAGGCCTTCTCCTCCATCTCTGTACTTTTACCTCAAACTTAAGGCTGAATTTACTGTTGCTGGAGACACTCCCAAAGATAGTGGAGTCATCAAAACAGCAGTACCTCAAATACCTCTTTTCCTTTATGGAGCATTTCTGGCCAGAAGTAGAAATAAAAACAGGCACTGCAGGATAGTCTACACTTTCTTTCAGTCAGACTATTTTTCTCACCTTGCAGTTTTCATGAGAAGCTGCCAGAGTTTCTACAAACATGTTAGGAGCAGCGAGACTCCTCCCATTAATCACAGCATATTTAGACACCCTAAAGAGCAGCATATATATCTGAAACTGTCAGCTGCTAATGACGAGCCTAAAATGCATTTAGCTGTGTGGATCCTTCCTGTCATTAATCTTTACAGCTTAACAATCATCAAAATGTAAACAAATGCTTTCCAAACCAACAATGAGGCTATTTAATAATGGAAGATGCATTTTTTCAGACCAACGCCAATTTAAGCTTGTGAGGAAACATATATTTCTTTAACCCTAATAAAGGGTAGAGGTTATAGACCAGATTTGTTGAAATATAAACAATAGAGGTTTATTTAGGTAAATAATCTTAACTTATCACCAAGCAAGACTGTTAGATATCATTTGATTCCAGCAGAATCTGATCTAACTGGATTGCTGTTTGCTAAAACTTTCTGTGATGTCATCATCCCCTGGAGCTTGCAGCGCAGCATGGATATCAAATCACTGATGCTGATTGCATAGTTTGATTTTACTGAGCAACTAACTGAAGAAAAATGTTTAGATTTCTCCTAGCAGAAACAAAAGAAGCATAAAAAGCAGTAAATGCATTTTTTTCGCCCCATCCGATACAAAATACAGAGCGTCAATACCACAACCAAACACCCCCACATCAAGCTAATATGGAGATGAAACTAATCGATTAGGAATAAAAGATCATCAGCAGATCTGTCATCAGCTAGCAGGCAGATACACAAATGAGCACGAGAGCAGCAACAATGACAGCGGCGCTCAAACGGGCCGATCATTACACACACACAACGCCATCAGCGTGGAAAAGGGCCGACGGCAGCAGTCTGAGCCCGCTTGGAAAGGAGGTTTATCTGAAAACTGGGAGGGGGCAAAGAAATAAAACAATATCTGCAGCAAGTTAAGAGAGGAAAACCCCCAAACCGCACAAGAGCATAGAAAGTTACAGTGAGACATACAGATGTTTGACAGAGAGAGGAAGAACAAGAAGAGAAAAGATGACAAACACTTTGGAAAGTTTCTGGCAGTTTAACAGATAGAAAACCTGCGATAGACTGAAGCTTCAGAAAGTAGAGACAGAGAAATCTTAGAGTGAGAAAATGTTAGAAAAACAAACAGAGCAGATGGACTGATGCTTTTAATCTTACCTGAATTTCTCTTGCTGATGTACTTGACATCATCACAGGCTCCCGAGGCAAAGAGGAGGAGAAGGAAAAGGAGAGATAACGTCTTCATCTCCCTATTCTCCGCTGGCACCTTAAAACGGAGCAAAGAAATCAAAATTAGTGGGCAGAATAATAATTAGATTCAACACTGACCTAAATAGAACAAAATTTCAAATTATAGTTTTTTTTCAATGTCAGTACCTGTGGTTATTATCATTTTGTATATGAAAGACAGACAGGTTTAAAAAAAATCACTCTATTTGCAGATGATACTGATAGATAGAAGAGAAGAAAACATTCAATCACTTTTAAAAGTTTTCACAATAAAATTGAGAAAACTAAAACACTGTGTCAAAAAATATACATAAAACAAAATTTTGTTTATTTGCAAACTGCAGCCGATATAAAAACAATGAAATCAAACTGACTTTTGAGAGAGTAAGTCCAAAAAATTCAATTGGTGTTACACCTGACGGCATTTAACCAGAAACCACAGATTGGTGAAGTCAAATCAAATCTAGCAAAAAATGTTGTAATGAACATTTTCTAGACTGCAAATCCCTTTTTCATTGTAAAGAATACCTTCGTTTTACCCTATTTGACTTATTGTGTGGAAATATGGGACAATACATATACAATCGTGTTTCTTATAAGTAAAAGTACTGAGATCTTTTTAAATTTAAACCATATAATTTATCTTCAAGATAAGAAATTGTCAACTTGCAGGCAATATTCAAAAAAAGTTAGTTTATGAGGGGCAGGGTTAGGATGAAAGAGGAGAAGGGAATAAAAAAAAAACAAATAAACATGCAGCTATAAACCACAAAAAAAAGTTTTTGCTTGGTGCTGTATGGGGTGGATTTATAATTCTTTTCTGATTATTTTTTGGAAACCTTTAAGGGTTGAACTGGTGCAGAAATACTTATTGAATGTTGATGTGTATGAGATCATCAGGAAACCATAAAGATTTTCATCTTCTATCTGCTCCTTTTTAATCAGTATGTTTAAAATATGCAGGTCTACTGGTGTTCTAGTTTGCACTTTGTGATCCCATGATTGTTGTTGGGTACAGAGAAAGTGTAATACTAGACCAGGGGTAACCAATTAAAATCAACGGGGTCCAAATAAAGAAAATCATCAACCAGTAAAGGTCCGGAGACATTTTTAAATTATAATCTGTTACTTTAAACAGAATTTAACACTGAAATAAAATGCATGTGTTTATGCATCCATGTTATACATAGAATGCTTTAATAATAAATATAAAAAGCACAAAATTTTTCCATTTTATCATTCAGTTTGGTATATGGAGAATTTCCTGACTCACTGTTTTTCTAAAACACCTGAACTGAACGTTTGTTATTTTATTCTTCCTCTTTCTGTCTTAATGTTGGCAGTGGGCTTTATGCTGCCCTGCAAGGCTTTAAACCTGGGTTTGAATGGAGACTAAGCCATTCTAAAGCACATATCAAGGAGCTCATTTTGAGCCTGGATCCATATTTATTGTTGATTCTGTTCATGGTGGAGAATCCTGCTTCACAGCAGCAGGTTGAGCCAAACATCCTCTAAATGTTCAGGGTCATCTTTGAGCACCATTTCACTTTTCTTTCACCAGTTCACCACAGTTCTTCCAGCAGTCCACACTTTCTCTGCTCTCTTTTTCTCATCATCTTCTCCTTCTTTCCCATCGCCCGGCTTGCCACCGGTTTGCCTGCTGTGTCTAAAAGTAGCAGCAGCAGCAACCCAGACTGACAGCAGCTCATAGGGCGTTTCTCAATTCACGAGAACGCGAGTACGTACTCGCGTTCTCGTCAAGTCCGTTCTTGGCGAGAATGCAGGAAGAGCGGACTTGACGAGAACGCGAGCACGCAAGCACGTATGTGTATTGGAGCAGAAGCGTACTCGTGACGTCATTACAGGCAACGTTGTTTAGCATTTCTTTAACAGTCAAAACTATTTATTCCCTACACAAAACATTTTGAAAACAATATTTTTAATTTCTAAAGCTTAAAAAACATTTAAAAAAAATTACAGAACCGTAAAAAACCGCCATCAGAACGAGCGGTAGTTCACACATAACTAGACCGAGAGAAGTGCACTACAGACGGGGTAACATTAGCCCTGGCTGCGGTTACCCTCGGAGGTCTGCTGGTCACTCTGGTCCGCTCAACGTCTGACTTTTTTTTTTTTTTCGCACTAACTCTGTTAACAGGCCACACAGGGAGGCTTCAATGTATAATGTTATCGCCTCAAATGATTTCAAAACGTACTTTTGAAGAACAACAGCAGCAGAAAAGGGAATGTTTAACTTAACACTGTAAGCGCTGTCTGGAATCAAGCTGCGGCCGCGGTGCATTCTGGGAAAGCGGTCAGTCTGAAGAACGCACAAGTCTGCTCTGATGCATGCTCGATAAAGAGGGCGGGGCGAGAACAACATCCGGGGATTTGATGCGTTCTCGATCTGGCGTTCTTGAGAATTGGAACGGTACTCGGGCTGAGGCTGATGACGTATCACGAGTACACGAGCACACGAGAACGCTCAAGAACGCATATTGAGAAACGTCCATTGGATCATTTGGATCATGTGTAGCCTGATGCTCGTGCCTGGATTCTTCCTCTTGAGTTTAAGGTATTTAACTTTTTCAAATTTGCCTTTTGATCTAAATTGCATTTGGACTTTTTATGACCTTCTTAAATAAAGGTCATATCAATTAAATTCAATTAGAAAGGAGCTCATTTAAAAGGGGCAGTAGCTGCCTCAGCACAGAGAGGCTCTTTGTCTGGTAGAACAGACTGAAAGTGGCTCTATGTGCGAGTGTGAATTAAACAGATGTGTAAAAAAGAAAGAAATGAGAACGAGTTCTGCCCGACTGGCAAAAAGAATCATGTCAACTATTAAGATTTGGGAATTATGACACTTTATGAAACAACACATTATGAAACAACATAAATCAGAGTGGTGGAAGAAGCAGGATCCTCAAACTTTCCTAAAATCAACACCAAAAACCAAACAAGAACATCAATACCTCAGAGGCTCCCGCCGTCACAAACAGTTATATATCCACCCATGAAAACTAATTTTGACATTCTCCTTTCCCCGACTGTAGCCTTTATAGACAAACACGCACACACAACAAGGAGGACAGAAGTCAAAATAAAGATAAGCGGTGCCAGAAGTCGCTTTATGATGATAAATGGGAATCCAGACATCAGCTTGAATTCTGATTGAAATCTCATTCAGCCCACATGAACAGCGGGACAGTTGATGACACAGCTCAGGATGGCGCTGATATGTGAGCCACCGTTTCAATGTTTTGATTATTGGCAGGCAGGGCAATAATAGAAGGAGGACCCGAAGCAGAGAGACCAAAATTTAATATGCGATAAAGATTAAATATTCTGCATGTCGTCGCTGTTATCGACGAGCCTCCATCTGCTTATTTTATGGAGCTCCGCTCATCAAAACTTTACTTTTTATCCAAAAAGTAAGATTTTAAATATAACCAAAACTCTGCAACAATTGACTGTATAATAAAGGCCCAAAGCTTTAATCGCTAATACTTAGACAAACTTTCATTCCGGCCAAGAAAGGAACTTGTTACATAAATTGATCATGCATATAGTGTTTGGAGTGTCATAAGATGTGATCACTAAGATGTCAGTCTGTGCAGGGAGAGTCAAACCTCCAGCTTTTGTATTAGATTATGCTAAAAAAAAAAAAAAATGTTTTCACAATGTATTCATTTCTAATGAGCACTTCTTTGTATGCATATGTGAACCTCTGCTCTTGCCGTCCAATAAAAGAATCAAATTACTCTGCACTGTATGAACTGCCAGCTTGGATGCAACTTTGCAGCATCTTTTCTATAATTGCATTGCCCAGTTTTACAGTTGTGTGTTTGTGACTGCAGAAAACAATGCTGTAGCCTCAGACAGAAATTATGAAAAAAAAGTTAATCCCTACCACTTTGTGAGGAACATTACATACACCCTTCATCCCAGCCAATAACCCCATGTGCCACAAAGTCATCTTCTCTCATTTACATTTCAAGTGCTTTAAACACCAAACCTTTGGAAGGTCTTTAGCCAATGGTGTAACTATTGGTAAGCAGAGACGGCAGTTGCTCACGGGACCAAGACCTCTTAGGGGCCCCATCACTGACACCTGGTTGGCCCCCTATGCAATTGAAGATGTAATGGTGCGAAAAATTCATCTTAAACACACCTGATACTGAAGCAACTGATTGAACCTTATTTATACCGCAACAAATACCAGATTTCAACATGATGGTGAGTCGTTTAAACACAACACCAATAGCAAATTGTTACTTTTAATTACTATGTTAATAACTGTGTATATATAGTTCATTAGACGGGTGGTAAAAAATACACTCATATACAGATGTGTCAAGTAACAAAGTAAAAATATTTTGTTACAAACGTTACTCGTTTCTCTTGGCTTCGGTTTAATGTTTATTAATATTTATTTCACGTCATGTGCTCCATCCAATGCAGATGATTGGCTCCATCCACATCTAGTGAAAACTGGTGTAATTGGATGAGTCATATAACGCAAACACTCATTGGTTAGCTAAAGGAAATCATCAGCAGCAAGCAGGTGTTCTTCAAACTGCAAACATGAATTGTCTATGCCATGCTACAATGTAGGATTCAGAAAAAGATGTTCAAATGTCTGAAAGGTCGGACACAGGGGAGAGCGTATCTGGAGATGGAGACCAACAAGACCTCCCTCGTCCTTGGCCCTATCTCAAAGAATTTTTAGAAATAGTCGTTAAATTTAGCTTTCAATACATATAGCGGCGTCTGGCTGTTTTCTTGAAGGTTACTTTATACTTTTATACTTTAAGTAGTTTTTGGAGAACATACTTTTTCATGTTTACTTCAGTAAAGAGGTCAAGTTGATACTTCAACTTTTACCAGTTTTTTGAAACTGCAGCATCTATACTTCTACTTAAGTAACACGTGTGTACTTTTGACACCTTTTACTTTTGTTATAATGTCCTAATAGTTAAAATAACATAATTAAAACACATATATAATTACATAGGACAAATTTTTGGATGTGGGCAA